CTTCTACACTGCTTCATAGGGCTTTTACCTCCCTCTCAAAGCAGTTTACAGAGTCAGCCTCTCGCCCCCTCCCCCCCCCCAACAATCTGGCTCCTCATTGTAACATTTACTCATGATACTCATTTACCGACCTCGGAAGGATGGAAGGCAGAGTCAACCTGGAGCCTGGCGAGAGTTGAACTGCCAAATCGCAGGCAGCTGGCAGCCCCCAGAAGCAGCCTGCAGACAGGCACTCCAACCACTGCGTCATCAGAGCTCCTGGTGAATCCAAATTGCAGGGTTTGGACACAACCGATTTCAGGCCGCTTCCCCATCATTTCTAGGTCTCTCTTGACCACGTTCTTGGAAGCTTCAAGGCGCTGTAGGAATTCTCCGACGTCTTGAAGTCGACCGTATTTCTCTCTTACTTACCTCTTACTGATTCTAAGAGACCATCTTCTGGAAGAAAACTGTAGGTTTTATGAGAGCGAAATGGGCAGCATCTAACTTCAATACATAAATACATTTTTGCTACCAAACAACAATGTATTTTCAGATGGAAATGTCATTTATTGAGGCTTATTCTGAAGCGGCTACAACAAAACGTACATCCACCTCTTAAGTTGCCCTTAAAAGCAGGACGACTTCAAAAGGAAGGAAGGAGGGTCTACACTGTCTTAAATAACCGAATGCCAGCCAGAGGATTCATGAGGATTTTATTATGGCCCACAGTAAGAGGTATTTTGACAAGTCATGCGTTCTTTCCCCATGAATTGGCTGAATAAAGACTGAAAATAAATTAAACTTGAATCCTAAAGATGATATAATTTAGCCCCATCAGGTTAGGACGTAGCTTCCAGATTGATGCAATCAGGGGTGTCCAATCTTGGCAACTTTTAAGACTTGTGGACTTCAACTCCCAGAATTCCCCAGCCACCACAGGGGGTTGAAGTCTGCAAGTCCTAAAGATTGGATATCCCTGGATGCCACAGATACTGGATGAAGCTCGGGAGAGCAAGAGCTGTTAACATGGAGATCTGGCATCTGAAGCAGGAGATCCACCTGGAGCTCAACGGAAGGCCTCCGAAGCCTGGCCTTCACTCAGGTGTGGGCTTCACCTGCTTTGCGGCTTCCAGCTGGCTCAGCATCTCATCCCACTGGATAAACTGTTTGGAAAGGAGGAGAGTCTGCAGGAAATCTTTAAGGAAAAGAGGAGCTGAGAAAAAAATGGAAAACAAACAAACAAAAAACTGGCCGGAGAAATGTTCAGCCTAATGAAGGAAAGGATTAGGAGAGGCCTGATAGCATCTTCCAATACTTGAAGGGCTGCCACAGAGGGTGTGGGGGGGGGGTGTTCAATCTATTCCCCAAACCACCTGCAGGCTGAACAAAAGTAACAGGTGAAAATTAATCAAGGAGACAACCAAGTAGAATTAAGGAGAAATTTCCTGACAGTGAGAATAATTAATCTGAAACAGTTTGTCTCCAGAAGTTGTGGGTTCTCTGGAGGCTTTCAAGAAGAGATTGGATAATTATACAGGATCTCCTGCTTGAGCAGGGGTTTGGACTAGAAGACCTCCAAGGTCCCTTCCATTATTCTGTTAATTAATCAGCCTCCAGAAGTTGTGGGTGCTCCATCACTGGAGGTTTTCCAAGAAGAAATTGGACAACCATTTGTGCGACACAGTATGAGGTCTCCTCCCTTGGGCAGGGGTTGGACTAGAAGACCTCCAAGGTCCCTCCCAGCCCTAGGATTCCATGATTCTGTGAAATCAGAAAGCAAGCAAATGGAACTCTAATGGACAGCCCAGAAAACCCTCAAGGTAGGTGAGAGATTCCAGGGCAGCCAGAGGAAATTGTGATGCTTCTGACAGGAATAAATGAATAATCCAGAGGAAAGCTGAGCTAGTGAAACGGGGGCAGCTCCATGTGAGTAGCACAGTATTACACGCTCCAAACCTAGTGAGAAAAAGGATATCATTTTGTTGTAATCTTCCAGAAGTAACCGGATGTTCTCGGTCACGGCTTCGCACTGATCCTGCAATAGGAGAAGAGTTCAGTCAATCCATATTTCCTTGTCTGGGATTTGGTATTTTAAGGACTAAATGATGCATTCCACCCACACAGGGAGGGTTATTTGCTTCTTAATCTGTTAAGATTTGGGATTACTGGCTAAAACAAAATGTGGAAAATTCAGCACCATCAGTTTAAAGGAAGGACTTTGTTGGCAGAATATAGATCAGAAGTCTTCAAACTTGGCAACTTTAAGACGTGTGGACTTCAACTCACAGATGAGGGGTGCCAAGGTACTGAGGATTTAATAGCTGCCAGTTGATGTAAGATTGTAAACTGCAATTTGTAAGCTGAAGGCAAGGCTGATGAAATAAGGCTGATTCATTGCAGCTATGGTCTTAACCCTTTTAAGATTCTGATGGGAGGGCCACACAAGTCTATACCTAGGTGGCTATTAGAGGGCGTCTGTTTCTGTCTCTCCCTCCCCCCCCCTCCCTCAGCGTGTATTCAGTTCTCTCCTAGTGTCTGTAGTGAGTGGTAAGGGATTTAATCTCTGCATGTATATTTCTGTATATAAGAACCACTGTTAATTGTCTTAAGGCTCTGTGTGCTGTGCTTATGCTCCTGGGTTTATGACATAATGCTAGTCATGCTGCCAACACTCTGACGGTTCTCACATAATGAAGGTGAGGCCTCAGGTGGGACACAGGCTTCTTAAACCGGAGGTGAATTCTCAGCATTTTCCAGCCCAGGGCTTACCTGCTGCTGAAGGTGTATTTGTGAAAGCCGCTGGAGCTTGGTGGCGTGGTCAGAAGAAGCTGCAAGAGACCACAAAGAGGAAGCCAGCTTCTTGTTATGACTGTTCAAAATGGAAACGGGGTCCCACCTCCCCCCCCAAATGGCCCTTGGGGGCTGTCTGGGGAACCTTCTGGCTCCTAAAAACCCCCCATTACGATCCACTCCCTTCCAACTACAAACGGAAGTTTTTGTAAAGCCAGGAAGCTGAATCAGTGCCCAGGAAGCCTTCGACTATCACTAAGCGAGTGCTGAACAAATGGTTGCAAATGGAGAACTACCTAATATTTATAATATTATCTACTAATAATACCTAATAATACTAATATTTATGAAGCAGAATCAAATGAGCAACTGATACTTGATCGGAAAAGCACGGTAACTACAGGCCCTGGCACAAGTAACAGAATAGCAGATGGAAGGAAACCTTGGAGGTCTTCTAGTCCAACCCCCTGGTCAAGCAGGAGGGCTTGATACCATTTCAGACAAGTAGCTGTCCAATCTCTTCTTCAAAACCTCCAGTGATGGTGCACACAGAACCTCTGGTGGCAAGCTGTTCCACTGATCAACGGTTTTCATTGTTAGGACATTTCTTCTTGGTTCTAGGTTGCCTCTCTCCTTGATTAGTTTCCACCCATTGCTTCTTGTTCTGCCTTCAGATTCTTTGGAGAATAGCTGACCCCCTCTTCTTTGTGGCAGCCCCTCAAATATTGGAAGGCTGCTATCATGTCACCCCTAGTCCTTCTTTTCATTAGTCTAGACATACCCAATTCCTGCAACCGTTCTTCATATGTTTTGGGTTCCAGTCCTTTAATTATCTTGGTTGCTCTTCTCTGCACCCTTTCCAGAGTCTCCACATCTTTTTTTACATTATGGAGATCAAAACTGGATGCAGTGTTTCCAGTGTGCCTTATTAGAGTAATACTATCACTTCATGTGATCTTGATTCTCTGTTGGATAAAGGAGAGGGATTGACTCACCTTTGATGTGTGCACTGTCCAAGTAAGGCTGTAGGCTCTTCACCTGCTCCAGAAGTGCTCCCTGCGCCATGATGGACTGTTTCTCTGGCGGTGGGAAAAGCATGAGATAAGTCAGGGAAAAGCTATATTACTGGTCCAGTAGCAACAGATCACGTGACCTGTGCCCCGAGGCAGCAGATTAACAAGCACTGATAGTGACACCTAGCTGGGTGATGAAAGATCTGCAAGAAAACCACTAAGCTCAGAGAGCATCAAGGACTCCTCCTCCTCCTCCTCTCTACAAACCCCATTCTCTTCCAACACTGATGATGTTGCCTAATAATAATGATTATGATGATAGTAACAACAGTTGGAAGGGACCTTGGAGGTCTTCTAGTCCAACCCCCTGCCTAGGCAGGGAACCCTATGCCGCTTCAGACAAATGGCCATCCAACATCTTCTTAAAAACTTCCCATGTTGGGAGCATTCACAACTTCTGGAGGCAACTTCTGTTCCACTGATTAATTGTTCTCACTCTCTGGAAATTCCTCCTCAGTTCTAAGTTGCTTCTCTTCTTGATTAGTTTCCACCCATTGCTTCTTTTTTCTACACTCAGGTGCCTTGGAGAATAGTTTGACTCCCTCTTCTTTGTGGCAGCCCCTGAGATATTGGAAGGCTGCTATCGTGTCTCCCCTCGTCCTTCTTTTCATTAAACTAGACATACCCAGTTCCTGCAACCGTTCTTCCTATGTTTCAGCCTCCAGTCTCCTCATCCTCCTTGTTGCT